AAATTAATTTTAGTAATTTTCGATTAAGCTTAGATACAGAAAATATTTATTAGAAAATCGTTCATCCATCAACTTTAATCTCAGAGACAGAATCCTGGAATGTTAAAGCACTTTGTTTCTGATTGTGCAAGGAATTTTTTAAATAGAATAACCAAAAATATGTTGCAATTTCACATTTATATTTTTATAACAATATTTACAGAGAAAAACTTTACACGTAGATTCTACGAAAATAATATACAATAATTTCAATAATTACGCTTCAAATAGTTTACAATTTGTTATTATCATTGATAATAATAATGTTATTTTAAATCCCGTCTTTTACATTATTTCAGTAGTGAATTTTAAATTCACGTGATTTCGTATGGTCCAACACAGACTCAAATTTAAAAATTTGACACTCTTTAAACAATTGTAAACTGCAAACATCATTTAATAAGGTTTAATATTTTTATCAAAATATAATTTGCTTTTTTCTTTTACTTCAAACTTTTCATGGCTACAACCTGAGTAGCAGTAACTTTAAGGAATTGATTAACAAAACTCCTTGATATCTCTTTTTGGCAAATTCTGAAGGTTTATTTAAATTTTATCTTTATACCAAAAATAAAGTTATGAGAAGTGAAACCACTAGATTCATAAATTCTACCTTTGTTCAATAATGTTTAAAATAATCAAATCAAAATACTATATTTAAAGATTCCAATAAGTAAAGATGGAAACTGGTTAAAGTTATTTTTTATATTTTGGGGATTATACAAAAATTTGTCATTATAGTGAAGTACTATTCTTTGTACAAATGACAAAGGAAAAGCTTCTGAGTATAAACTACTGGTTAGATATTTTGAAGTATTAATAAATACTAATTACTTGTGGGTAGAGGACTAATAATATCAATTTACATCTTTACAAAGATGTTTTCAAAAAAATTAGTAACATATATGGACTACTTGGATTTTACTGACATTTTATTAATAGCTTGAACAGATACAGATGAAACCTGACATTTCTTTATTCATTTTTGCTTAGCAAAAATTCTCTCTAAATTATTTGAAGAGATTTGATGCACTTTATAACCACTGATTATCTTATGATACTTTGAAATGATAACAGGTTTTTGTGGTGGATGTGGAATTATAACCTTGTCAGTAGATATAGTAATGAATTTTTGAGGATTCTTGAATGCTTATTTTAGATGATTGGTTCAGATCTATTCCACTATAATATTACGGGTTCCAAATTATTATAATCTCTCGAAATATTAAAAGTTTTTAAACATAGGACATCTATAAGATATTTTTCAGAAATTAGTGAAAGACATCATATTACTTCTCTTGCTTTAATTCGATATTGTTTTAATTGTGTAACAGAGAATCTGTTTCATTAATAATTTTTTATTGATTTGTAATATAATTCAATATTCGAAAAACAATAAATGGAGAAGGTTATTTTCACCTACATATGTACATATATGTAAATAATCTTTACTATAAACTATGTTAAATAGGAGATGAAAATGTGTAGATTATATTTGTTATCAAAATTATAATTTTACTAGAACTATGTAAATTATTATTTAAAATTAATTCACTATGGTTTTGACCCCAAAATACTAAACTACACACTCTTTGCTGCGATGCTATGTTCTTTTTTTCAGAGAAAAATCTCTTAAACTCAGAATATGTTACTCCCTCATCAAATATTTAACATTTGCTATCATCATTAGAGTAAATATCCAAGTATTATAATTTTTCTGTGATCTAAGTTTGATAATTTATTTCTTTGCATTGAGAAAGAAAATTGCAACTACTGATTTTTCATTACCATACTCTATTATGAGAATTTTGATGCAAGGTGCAAACATAGAGAAAACTTTTTATTTCTAAAGTAAAGATGAGTGGTAAAATGATTTATTTTTCGAATGTATTTATAATATTTCTGTTTCTACAATAGAAAAATCATTATTGATGACTTGGAAGTATTAAGCACCAGTATTGTGATCCAAATAATGGTTTCACCAAGGAGTAGAGTATGTCCAGAACTAATACCAGTAAGATTGTATTTAATGCTGGTATCTATAAATAAATTGAAAAGTATACCCCTTTGTTTTGTTAGATTAAATTATGAGTCAATATCAATGTTAATTTTAGTCACAAAACTTGATAGTGAAACCCTCAAAACTCTTACTGTTTACTACTGTTTCTTAACATTTCACTGCTATGAAGAATAGTTAAAAAATTAAGATTGCTTCACAAACTAATATTATATTTCACTTGGATTATCTATAAAGTATCAAGAATACAAAAACATTCTTTATTTTAACAAAATAAGATATTACGAATTCATAACTCTGAAGAAAGAATAAATGTTTAGAAACACAAATGGCATTAGAAACTAAAATACTTAAAATTATTGTAAAATATGTTTTGAGTTGTATTATTTCCTAATCAATTTTACTAACCATTTAAAAAATTTTCGAATAACGTTTAACTACGTAATGATTTCATTTAAGATTATTGCACAATCTTTATCTTAATAAAAATCTCCTTTATTTTCATTAAAATAGTTCTTACAATTAGATGTTTGAATTATTAGAATAAAATAAAACATTGCTTGGAAGTATAATACTGCCACACTTTTTAATAAAATTAATGTAATCCTTTTGTTACTATAGTAACAAAAAAAGTCACACATACAAATTTTTAACATCAACGTGTGTGTAGTTTTCATATGTAGGTACAGTTGAAGTACACGTGCAGCTGGGACAAATGTCAAAATTTAAATGGTTGCGCCTCTGCGTGCGACGCGGCGCTGTCTCGCAAAAATCAGGTGGTCGCATTTACCAGCTGTGTATTGCTACTTTATATTTGCAGCTACACATAACGGACCTTCAACTTTTTAACACAGGATAGTCAGTATTTTCAGTAAATGTAAAAAAATTGTACTTAGTACTTTCTGTTGCTTGTAAACATTATTTAAAGTTTACCAATTTTTTGGAAAATCAACAAAAATAACACATGGGGAACTACTTTTACGCGGAGTAATATTAGAAACCGTTCGAGCGAGTCAATATTTATTCAGTTCTTTTACACTAACGATACTATTTTTTGCTTAAAAAATAAATTCAAAAGAAAGTACTTAAATTTTAGAAAGTCTCTAACATGAAATTTGTTGAAAGTCTGTGTTTTTTCAACGGTTATGTGTTGAAACAATTTTTGCGGAGGAATAATGTCGTGCTGCGATCGCACAGACGCAAACCAGCTTCGTTCATTGGCTGAAGGAAGCGAGCGATTCACACGAACGCAATACATGCTCTTTTCCGCAAATACATATTCACTAACACTGGTCAAAATTTTCGTCAGGTTTCAGGAATGTACCTATTACATGGGATAGCCCCAAAATTGCAAAAATATTTTTTTTATTATTTTAGCAATTTACTGTTTCAAATTAAGCTTCTAACTTCTATTCTTAATTAAAATAACTTTAAATGAAGTAATGACAATTTTTTATCCAAAGAAATTCAATTTTGTTACTAAACGGTTTTTAATTTTTATAGAAATGCATGTAATCTACCTCTATTGTTGTACTATTAGATACAAATTGTATATATACAAATTACTGTATTATTATATATCTATAATGATAAATTTAAATAACGTACAATTGATTATTTATCACAAAGCTAAATAATAATTTTGTGGATGTAATGGAGCAATAATAGAAGCGAAACCAATAAATATGATACCTTTAAGCTTGTAGAACCAAGATTAAACTTATACAACCGAAAACTCATGTGCGACTGCACAAACTGCAGTTTTTATTGTAAAAAGTAAGAATGAGTCTAGCGGTAGTGCAATTGAGAACAAGTCGAGATAAGTACGATCCTGGTTGCTCGGCATAAGTAGGGGTGAAGGGAGAGGCAGGTTCGCACACACACCGGCGCAGAACGGAGAGCGAATTCACTCGCCGGCTCTCAACAAGAACGCGTCGACATATACACCGTGCTTGAACGTACTGAGGTGATATATCTGTTATTTATCCTACGGTCGAAGGCGAGTCAATCGTGAAAATGGCCGGGGAAAAGCGTACTCAGGATCAAGAGGAAACCTTACTGTCGGAAACGATGATCTTGGTTGACATCGAAGGCACTACGACGAGCATAAGCTTCGTGAAGGTAACAAAGACCATGGCCGTGAGGCAGAACGCGCCCTATGATTCTCGCATTTCACCGGTTTTCCGACACATTCTCTGACAGTACCTAATGATCGTAATTTTCTATACAGGGAGTTTCTCACAGAGAAATTTCCGAATGTTATCATGAGGTTTTCATACCGTGGAAAATTTGTGTATAATACTTTCGCGCGTATTGTGTGTGTTCTCTCAGCAATACTATGCCGGTTGAAATCCAGTTTCAGGTTCCCTGTTCGTGAGACAGCGAGTTTCATGGAAGGCACTAGATGCTGTTTCGTCGAATATAAATCGAATAAAATTTTTTTTCGCATCGTGTTCAACTTCGTGTTTCTAATGTTAAGATTTTGCACAATGTTTACTGCTTTATGTTTTTTGCGGAATTTTAAAGTTGTCCTTTAGCACATTGTAACGAAAACAATGTGAACGTGTATTTATGAAATTTTATTTATTCATGAAAATGTAAAATATTAGGCTGCAAGGCATTGTTTTGTAACGTTATTGCACGGGTGATTTTTCAAAATAACGGAAACTGTAACGGCGCATCTCACTGTTAATTCGATCGGCGAGGACTCACTACATTCACGTTTACCTTCCTTTCAGGACACACTTTTTCCTTACGTACGGGAGAATTTAAAAAAATATATTGAAACTAAGTGGGAAAATGAGGAATTCAAACAGGATTTTGAAAAATTAAAAGAACAGGTAAACATTACAAATAATTTTTAAA